GGAGAATTTTCTTTGTAGAAGACCTGCCTCTGAGTAGGGTCTTCCTTCCATAGCCTCTTCGTTCCTCTGCTTCCACAAGTGCCAGCAGATAATGCCGAAGTCGCTCCCTTTGTCGACATCATTAAGATTCTTAAGGAGCCAACTCTTGAAATCATCATGTTGATCTTGGTCAGTCTCAATTTTGAAGAACTCCCTAATGCCCTTAGTTTTTTTGCATTGTCGGAGAATGTGTTCAGGAGTTTCATCCACACCTCTGCAGTGTGGACAGCTGTTGTCATCAGTAAGGGTTCTCTTCTCTCGTTCCTTGTTGGTGAGGAGGCGATTGTGCGTGGTGAGCCAGAGGAAATACTTCACTCGTGGTGGCCCTTTCCATCTCCACAGGTCCTTCCACACCGAGTCAGCTTCATCTTCAAGCTCATCTGCAGCGAGTTTATAGGCAGATCTCAATCGAAATCTTCCGTCTCTTTCGATGCCCCAAATGGCTTTGTCTTCCCCCAACTCAGGTTTGGGTGCTTCCGCTCCTACAATCAACATACACACATCATTGGGTAACAGGGGCTTTAGCCTGCTCCAGTCCCATTGATTTGTTGGTGTGGTCCAATCTGCAACGCTGGAGTCCATCTCCTCTTCTGAAAGGTCCTTGAACAAGTGGTCTTCAAGGATCAAACCACATTCGAGCCAGGGGTGCTTCCAGAAATTTGTTGACCGCCCATCTCTAATGCTCCAAGTGGCAGCTCTTTCATCAGGGGCATAGCCTTCAAAATCGCCTTCCAGAGTGGGGAGTGGTTGCTCTTCTTCATTGAGACAATTTTGCCGTCTTTACTGTTAAAATATTTCCCCTGCAAAACCTGCACCCAAAGAGACGATTCATTGTTAAACATCATCCAGGCAAGCTTAATCATGTATGACATATTGAGACTTCTAGCAGATCTCAGGCCAAGGCCACCCTGGTCCTTTGGTTTACAAACATTTTCCCACGAGACCAAATGAGTTTTACTTTTCCCTTCTTGTGAACCCCAAACAAACCATCTGATTTTACGGTCAATAGCGTCACACACAGAGACTGGTAAAAGAGAGGTTTGCATTGCATAGGTAGGGATAACATTCAACACAGACAAGGCAAGGGTGACACGTCCTGCTAATGACAAAGACCTAGCCTTCCAAGCTGTAAGTTTCTGATCAATTTTATCCAGGACAAAACGATAAGTATTCCTGTTGATTCTACCATGTAGAACAGGAACCCCAAGGTACTTTCCAAGATCAGAGGTTGCCTGTATTCCCATCCTAGCACATGTATCATTTTTAATCTCAGTCTTAGTGTTCTTAGAGAAGAAAACTCTGGATTTCTCTTTGCTGATAAGTTCCCCTAAGGCATCACAGAAGGCGTTCAAACAGTTCATAATGCAATTAGCTTGTCTAGTACTTGCTTCCGCAAATAGCACTAAGTCATCTGCAAAGAACAGATGAGATAGTGGAGGCCCATTTGCAGAAAGCTTCATAGGAATCCATCTCTTATCCCTAACCTCTCTATTTATGCAGTGACTAAGCCGTTCAATACACAAGACCTCTGTCGGGGGTGGAGCTTTCTGTTTCTCCACCGTTCCATAAGACCTGCATCTCCACCGTAGTGACGCACGCCATGATGATTCTAATGCAGCTCTCAGGGATGCTGGCAGCTCGAATTGTGCTTTCCAGAAACTTCCAGTCAATTCGATCGTAGGCTTTAGCAAGATCGATCTTGAGGAGCATCAACCCTTTCCTTCCATTCTTGCTCCTCATGCTATGGACCGATTCCTGCAAAATCAGAATGTTGTTAGAAATCTGCCTCTTAGGAACAAAGCTAGACTGGTTAGGATGGATAAGAAAAGGCATGAGGGGTTTCACTCTGTTGGAGATGCATTTTGCCACTACTTTGTAGTTGATGTTGCAAAGGCTAATTGGTCTAAATTGGTTCATCATGGAGGGAGCTTTAGTTTTGGGAATGAGGGCAAAGAGGGTTTCATTAGCCTGTTGGATCTTCACTGGTTCTTTGAAACAATCCACCACAAATCTGTAGAGATCTTGTCCCACAAGGTCCCAACATTTTTGGAAGAAGAGAGCTTGGAAGCCATCCTTCCCAGGAGCTTTCATGCTTCCCATGTTCATGATAGTGAGTCTGATCTCTTCAAGGCTCGGCAAATCCCCCATCTTAGTGATACGGTTGGCCTCAATACTTGGAAATTCGGCAGCAATGTCTGGCCAGGTCTCCTTATCCTCTCTTGTGAAGAGCTTAACGAAGAATTCCCTTGCCATATCTTGGATCACTGTAGGGTCAGTGATCCAATCCCCATTGTCACCTTTGAGTCTCAGGATCCTATTCCTTTTCCTTCTGCTTAAGGTACTGTTGTGGAAAAACCGAGTGTTTTGATCCCCATGCACAATCCAGTTAGCCCTAGATTTTTGGAGCCAAAGGATTTCTTCTTGCCAGAGTGTCTAGGGGTGTTCAAACAGTTTGGTTACCATGGTAACCATTTTAACCGGTATTATTTGGATAATTTGGTTTGGTTAATTTGGATAATTGGTTTGGTTTGTTTAAAGTTTTTAGCTTGTTTGGTTTAGGTGGTTTGGTTTGGTTTGGTTTCAGACACTCCTAACCAGTCAAACCAAATTAACCAGTTAAGTAATTAGTCATATATCTAACATATATTATATACACATAATACTTTGCATAACCACTCAAGAGTTAACGTTCATCCCTTTTAGACTCATAAAATATAAAGTTCAATATTGCTCATATAGTGTATATTTGTATATGTAAAGTCTAGACCACAACATATGGACGCCTAATTTAGATAAATTTCATACATTATGATGAATGAAAACTTGAAAGGAAGGTCATTTCCAGCCTATGATAATTGCTAAGAGACTAAGTCAATTTACACAAACACAACAATTCATTAACCCATACCATTGTCATAATTTTTTGTTAGGTGAATACTTCTATACTAATCGTAAGATAAATGTCTTAGTAGCATGTATTTTTTATAAGGGTCAACTATAACTACGTGTTGATTGTTATGTTTTATTCATTATATAAATTGCGAATTGTTGCATTAACCGGAAAATTTTCATCGTCAATGATAATGTGATTTTATATTGATTAATCTGGTTAACCAATTAACCAAACCGATTAAACTTTAGTTTGGTTAATTTGGTTGTTGTATTAGTTTGGACGGTTTGGTTATGATATTGTATTTCATGGTTAATGGAATTTAGCCTTATTTGGTTTGGTTATAACCATGGTAACCATTTGAACACCCCTAAGAGTGTCTGTTCAAGCTCTTCTCTGATCTCTCCTTCTTTCTCCAATGAACGTCTAGTTGGGGACCTTTCATTGAGGAGTTCAATCGAGGCAAGCTTGTTGAGGAGATGTCTTTTCTTGCGAAAGATGTTTCCAAAAGTGTCTTTGTTCCATTGTTGGAGCTGCTTCGCTAAGACCTGCAAAGAGGGACAAAGATCACTACCACAACTCCAAGAAGAAGAGACAAGGGGGAAAAAGTCTTTGTGAATTATCCAAGGAGCAAGGAAATGGAAACGTCTCACCAATTTCTTGCTGCCCAACTCAATCTTATTGCTCGTGAGAATGGGTCGATGGTCAGATTTAATTTTGGGAAGGTGGAGGTTTGTGGAATCAGGAAAACTTTGGTGCCATTTCAGGCTACACAAACATCTGTCGAGTCTCTCTTTAATTCTGGAAGAGCTTGTGAACCAAGTAAATTTAGGCCCTGAGAAGCCTAAATCCATGAGTCCGCAGTCCTAGATACACTCATTGAATGCCCTAGTCTTGGCAACATTAAAGGGAGCTCCACCTTGCTTCTCAGAGGAGTTGAGAATTGAGTTAAAGTCCCCAATAATAAGCCAAGGGACGACAGTTCTTCTACTGATGCTTCGAATAGCACTCCAGAGCTCTCCTCTTTCATACTCATTGGGGCTGGCGTAAACTGCTGTCAAGTGGCAAATCACATTGTTCCCCATTTTGCATTCGAGATGGAGGAACTGCTTGTGCTTATCCAGGATTTCAAAGTTCATCTCAGATTTATTCCAAAGGACCCAAATACCACCACTGAATCCAATAGCATCTGAGACCTTCCATGAGTCGAAGCCAAGACCTTTGATGATGTCTTCAGCGTCATCACCACTAATTCTGGGTTCCAAAATGCATACCACATTCGGGGAGTGAATACTCTTGTAAAGCTCAAGTGTAGAGCGAAACTTGGGGTGCTTGGCACCCCTACAATTCCAGGAGAGGACTTTAATCATTAAACTGATTGTAGTGTGGTTCCCCTGCTTCCCCACAAGAGGGAGATCATTTCATGTCGACGGCCATCGCCGTCGCTTCTTCTCTGGCTTGAAGGCTACTACCAGTAGCTTCAGACCCGAGTGCATCTTCTGGCAAGAGTATGGTTTCCCCTGGAATGCGATCAAAATCAATCTTCCGTGGGTTACCTTTCCCATTTTCTGGGGGATCTTGAGTTTTCTCCTTCGTTGTTCTACTAGGCGTTGGGGTTGAGCCATCTTTCATCTTTGGTTTGTTGCCGGCTTTGCCTCCCCCTACCTGTTCTTGATCTTTACCTTTGGCGTTTGGAGTAGGCTGGGCATAGGCCTTTGTGTTCGTTGTGCTTGACTCCCCCTTACCTCTGATAGATGTAGCGATCTTCCTTGAGTTAGACTTGTCACCTGCTTTGTTCCCTGAAACCTTCTCATTGCCTTTGTTTGAAACTGGAGTTGGTTTTTGGTTATCTTTTTTTTGTCTGAATTTTCTTTGCTTTGTTACTCCCTTGGACAACCTTCTACTAATGGGACCAACGGTTTTTTAGAAGACGGATTTCAATGAATATTGTTTTTGCCGAAAATTAATAAGGATGTAGTTGGAAAATTTTAGTTTAATTTATTTCTAAATGTATGGCAAACATGGTTTGGGAATTCAATTCATTTTCTTTCTAAAGATTTGAACATTACATACCGAACATAGTAATTCATTTGAAAAAGTATTCTACACGATTATTCAACTTAAAATAAAATGAATTCTCGATTCATTTAATACAAACAGTCTATTAAAGTCGGTGACCATTAAGCAAGGGAACTTTTTTAACTGACAAAATGAATCAAAGCCAAATGACCAAACTTGCAATTCCCTCAAGAGGCATTTGATACATTGTTCGACAAAAGTCAGCAGAAACTGTGTATATTCTCATACCAGAAGGAAAATCTCCTACACAACACTCCTTGCTTAATGGCTTTAATAGATCGTTTGGTATCAAATGAATCGAGAATTCATTTCATTTTAAGTGACAAATGAAATGAAATCCAAATGAGCAAACTTGCTATTCCCTCAAGAGGCATTTGATACATTGTACAACAAAAGTCAGCAGAAACTGTGTATATTCTCATACCAGAAGGAATATCTGCTACACAACACTCCACTATCCTTCTTGTCTTCCTTCCTCTCGCTCATCATCCTCATTCCTGCATTCCAAGAAACAAAAAAGATCTCTCCATTAGCAGCAGATCAGCTTTGATCAACTTGATAAACTGGAACAATGAGTGTTGATCTTTCAGTTGTATGATTGCCTTGGTTACTCACCTTGAATCTCTTGCGCCGTGTATCTTCAGAATTGAATCTCGAAATGTACGGTTCAACCCTGTTGCGGAGTTCATTTCTGTGATGTCCACCCAAGGTTGCTGGCATCCGGCTACTCTTTTCTACCGCTTGATTTCTTGCATTTTGGAAGAAGCCTTCTTTGGACCAGGTAACGTCATAATCGGCCTTTAATCTGGATCCTTGCTGTTCAAGTGGAGAAAGTACATTAGTTATTATGGACTGATCAACATCAACTGCCCGCCATTCAAGCTGGCCTATCCCACCTCCCACTGGCAAAGTGGAAGAGTTACTGATACTAGAACATATAGTATACTTGAATGATGAAGACTCGTATAATGAACGAAAGGTGGCAGCAGCGGCGGATGTGAATTCAGGCACAATAATTTCAAGACTGCAGACCACACACATAGATAAGAGCTCCTACCTTTTGCAAAGAGCGGCCACACAAGATTCTAAGAGTATTGCAGAAATCTGTGTGCTTCTCAAACTGAACCACAATCTTGCAGTGCAGACCTGAAATTATGTCTCCCCCACCTATTCCATCAGCAGCCTTATCTTGGTCATCCTCAACGACACTAAGGTTCCTATTTAGCATGAAGGAGACAAATAATTTTCAGCAGAAAGTACGAGTAACTCAAACTGTTGTGCAGAGGAAACAGCCAAAAGGGTCAGCTCAGTTGCAGTTGGATCATTACCCCTCATGATGCAAGATAAGCCAATAACCATTTATCACTCAGAGCTTTATTATGATAAGCAGCCTAATGTTTCTGAAAGCAATTGTCACAGCAGATCAAAAGGTTTAAACTTTCTGAATGAGATAGACAAGGAACACGCAGAGAAATCCCATTGTTCCCTTAACTGGCAGCAACTCTAACCCATAATGCACCTAACCATGAATAGAGTAAGTTATAGTTACTCATCCAGAATGGCAGAGCAAACATGAAAAGATAAACACTAGCGGGTTACCTTATCTTCCCAAATGCCGAGAAAATGGTATGGGTAACGAGCATCGAAGGCTTGGAAGAAACTCTTGGCTCCGCAAACCATCTAGACGGTAACCCTCTTACTACAATTGTATCTGGTTCTTGCCTTCCTCCTCTTGAGAACCCTGCTCGACAATAACAACGCCACTTCATAAACAGAATCAATTCCAAGTAGCAAATGAATGAAGAACTTCAATTCAGATCAAAACCTCGATTTCCAAAAGCGGAGGCCTCCTCCCAACTCTTCTTCATCCCGGGAAAATCATCCGATGCCGGCACAGCAACACTCAACTTATACTGATCACCTTCCAGGTTCAGCTCGATTCCGTCCAATTTCTCAACAATGTACTTCCTCCATTCCGTAAACTTCTTCTCGAGTTCCTTAGCATCTTCCTCCTTATCCTCATCGCCTCTCCTCTTCCCGTTGAGGAACCCTAAGTCGCGAATCGACAGAGTGCCGTGCGCCACGGGATCCTCGCGCTTCCGCTTCTTCAGGTCCTTGAACCGCCGGAACACCAGATCCTCTTCCGGGACTTCGATTGGCACGGAGAGCGAATTCTTCAGAAACTCTGTCAGAGCGCGCTTCAGCTTCCACTCGTCGATCTGCTTCGCGACGGAGGACGGCGTCGGGTGGACCGTCAGCTCGAGCTTCACCCTCGGGACAAGCGAGAGGCCGTTCTCGAGCTCCAAAGTTTTCGTCGGCGGAAGCGAGTCCAACGGCGGGATACTCATCGTTCTTTTTATTCTGATATACTCTCTTCCCGTCACCGGTTCTCCAGCTTCACGACAGCGGACCAACTATAACGCGTTTTCGACAGCGGACCGAAACGTCGTCGTTGTGCATATGAGAGTTAGGATTGGACTCTTGCTTGCTACACCAACGGGCTTAGGATATAGTGAGAGTGAGTAACCAAATGTTACTCATCCATCAGTAATCAATTGAGAATCGTAGATCTGATGGGAGAAACTTTGTGTGGTTGATATTGACGTTGGATGGGGAAAGGGTATTTTTGTCTAATTTTTAAAATTTTATTTCTTTTTTTTATTTCTTTCCAGCATTTATATGCTCACTTTTAATTGAGAAAAGAGAAAAACAATATTTCTTTCTCTCTCTTTTTTCTTTCTCTTCTCTCTTCTTTCTCTTTTCCTTTTCTCTTCCAAACACCTTTTTCCAGATCTAGATATATTCTCTTCTCTTGTTCTTCATTTTTTTTTCTTCAATCGACAAAGAAAAAAATTGCAGCATCCCTTCTCAAATTCGGTGACGCTCCAAATCCTTCTTCTCTCGATCTGCTCCTTCCTTCTGTTCTTTCTTTTCTCGACCTCAAAATAGATGACGCTCCATATTGTCCAAGAGGGGACAGATCTATGTGAGTCGAATTTGCATCTTTTAGTATTTGTTTGTGAATTTTCAATTCCGATCTTCGTCCTCATTTTTTTTTTTTTTTTGCATTTGGTGTTCTTGATTGTGGAAGAGGAAATGAGAGGAGACAGAAGAAAAGTTTTTTTTTTCTCTCCCTCATTCTGTTTTTCTTCCTTCTTTTAGGTAATATATGGTAATGTGTGCTAACTAAATGTATTTTTATGGTCATGAGTTTTATCATGATGGTAGTGGGTGGTAATCGAGGAAAAAATCCAAAACTACCACTGTTTAAAAAAAATTACAAAAATACCACTCACTCCCAATAATTTCCAAAAATACCATCGTTTATTTAAAACCGCGCCTCTAATGGGCGGTTTTAATTGAAACTGCGCCTCCTGGCAGCGGTTATAGCACAAAACATGCCTCCAAGGCGCGGTTTGACCTTGCATGGCTGTCAAAACGCGTGGCCACGTGGCGGTGCATCAAACCGCGCGATGGGTGAGCGATCTGACGGTCAAACCGCACGCCAGTTCAGCGATCCGCGTCGCTCACTCAAACCGCTCCCCCGAAGCGTGGTTTGACTATTGGGGAACGCAAACAGCGTGCTGGATGCGCGGTTTTAGGCGGGGTAAAAGGACGAAACCGCCCCTCCCTCACGTGGTTTCGTCCCTATATAAACCCCCCTTCCCCCCCCCCCCCCCCCCATTTTCTGCACACCAAACCCATTCCCCCCCTCCCCCTCTCTCCCTCTAACTTCTCACTCTACCCACCCCCCTCCCCACCCAAAAACCTTAGAATTAGTTATTTTGTTGGTTGTGGATAAGTCCGATCTGCCTCCAAAAAAAAATTCTTTGGTTTTCACTAAAAAACAGTCGAACCTATGTTCGGATTCTGAAAAAATGGCCGATTTCGCCCAAGAAGATGGCCTTTTTTATGATGATTATCAAACGGTACGTACTCAATTTTCCCAATTGTTGTTGTTGTTATAATGATTTATTTAATTTATATACTAATTGATTTATGTTATTGTTATGCTATCGTAGGTTGGCCCGGATGTTGATATTTTCAATCAACGATATTATGTTGATCAAGGACCGATTGATCCGACAGTTTTATACGATCAAGCAAATCATCGTTCAAGAGACGTTTGGAACGACCACAAGGTACATATTATTTATCATCACTTGTAATTTGTATTTTGTTAAAGTAATTTATTTGTTTGTACAATAATTTACTTAATTGTTAATCGTATTGATTATTTTCAATCATTTAAATCAATACAATACAACACTTATTTAGACTCTTTATAAGGAAATGCATGTCTAAGGAAATGGGGACTTAAGCGATCATCATGATCCCCCCATGACCTAGAAAAATCGGGTTCTAAACGATCCTCGGATCCCCCCTTTTTCTGTCAAAAAGACTGTGTTTCTAAGGAGATGTATACCTCTCCTAAGAGTCTTACGAGTGTACTTGTATTGCTTTAAATTATTGAAAATAATCAATACGATTAACAAAATAATATATTTGATTTTATCTGTATGTGTACAAAAAATAATTATACTTAAATTTTGAAAATTATTTTAGTTATGTTAATATTAATGTTTATTAGATAATTTATATTTCTCTAAAACAACTTTGATTTAATTAATATTGCATCTTATAATATTATTTAGTTATGTTAAAATTAATGTTTATTAGAAAATGTATATTTCTATAAAACAACCTTGATTTAATTAATATTGCATCTTAGAAAATTATTTTAGTTATGTTAAAATTAATGTTTATTAGATAATGTATATTTCTCTAAAACAACCTTGATTTATATATAAATTGCATCTTATAATATATTTATATATGTATAAATCATCAACTTATAGTGAAATTTAAATTCTTCTCTAGGATGCATACCATATAGTCCGCTATAGGGGCACGACGAATGTGCTTGAATGGAACGATGCCATTTTGCGCTTTCTAAAAAGGGCAATATTGGATTCGATTAGGCATTTTAATGGAATCAAGATCGACCGCCAACTCATCACGGCGATGGTAGAGAGATGGCGAAAGGAGACACACTGCTTCAATTTTCGTGAAGGCGAGTGCACCGTCACACTTAAGGACATCACCATCCTAACCGATCTGCCCATCGATGGTGATGTTGTTTGTGTGGACTCTACGCCACCACCTAAAGTTGTTGCCAATATGAGTGGTTGGCAACATTTTATATGGACGGTCACCGGGTTCGGTCCGCCAGAAAAGGGAGATCACGATGCGGATAGTCATCCACCATTGTCCAAGGGCCAAGTATCCATCACGTGGTTGACAGCGGAGATCAGGCGTAAGCACAACCCTGAGTTCGGAGGCATTCCCCTCACGGAGGAAAGTTCGGAGCGTGATAAAGACATTTATGCACGTATCTACATCCTCGGCATGATCGGAGGAGTTTTCTTCCCCAAGAAATCCAACAACCTAATCAGCAATTCATGGTTGAAGATCATACTTGGTAGTTGGGATGGTATGGGAAACCTGAGCTGGGCATCTGCTTGCCTAGCTCATCTCTACCGAGCCCTCTGTAATGCTAGTGCGAGAGCGGTGAAGGAGATTGATGGGGCCATGCTCATCATCCAATTTTGGGCTTGGGAGCATTTGCCATGGATTGCGCCGAAGGTTGAACCAGACAAGGAATGGGGTCCCAACCATCCCAACGACATGAAGCTTATGGTTGTAGGTAAATGTTTTCTATCCCACTCATAGTTCTCACCATTTTTTACTAATTGGGTATTTTATAACGAACCGGGTATTATGTATTAACACTCCATACTTTTTGGATTGAATAGGTGGCTTGGTGAAAAAACATGCGACAACCTAGGAGCGCATAAGTTGGAGGAGTATCGTAGGAGGCTTAATCGCCTTTGGGAAGCAGAGGTGAGCATCATAAAACACTATTAATTCCTACTTTTTTAATTTATATTATTATGTTGATTAATGGTATTTTTATAAACCTTCGTAGCTTAAGTTCGATCCGTATCCAGAACGCATTGTTGCGCATCACGTCCACAAGTTCCCGTTACATCCCGGTCAATGGTGCACCCGAGTTCCACTAATCTGCCACCATATAGTGGAGTGGCACTTGCCGGATCGATGTCTACGACAATTTGGACGTGAGCAATGCCTACCATTTGATGTCCCAGAGAGTCAGAAGGGGTACCACGGGAAAGATGGTCGACAAGGAGCTACTAATTGGCCGGAGGAGTATGAAAAATTGATCCGCCTGTGGAATGTTAGGCAAGATCAGGATATTGTGACGGGATCTCATGTGGGGCGGATGGGCTACCATGATCCATACCTGGAAACCTACCGAAGACAATCTGTTCGGTACATGACCCCCGAAGGTGCGGCGGACGGAGCTTTGGTAAGTAATTCAGTTTTTATTTATTTAGTCATGCAGTGCATTATTTTTTAAATGGCTCGCTTTGTTATTTTCTTCGATTTAGGTTGATGGCATCGAGCGAATACACGACCTCGCGCGGACGGCAGATCATTCGGATGCAGGTCGAGAGGTGGGGCTCATTTGAAGGATAGCGAACAATCTCCTTGGCTGCATACGAGCGCGCGGACGTGACCATTATAGATACCCTCCAGTTCCCTCAGTGAGACCGCCACCGGTGACGGAGGATGTTGACCCTGTGCCTCCGCCGGTCCATAGAAGGCCAAACAAAGCTACAAGGGATCGACCTCACGTGCCGGAGATCAAGCCGATTGCGGCGTGGAAGGCGCCTACTCCTTTGGAGGTGTGCAGCGGTGAAGGGGGGAGTACTCACTACGATCCCACGCCCAGAAGCCAGTATGATCCGCGGTCGAGTTTCCAATTCAATCTCCGGCCCAGTTTCCAGTATGAACAACGGCCAAGTTCCATGATGATACTCATGCCTCCATCTCGAGTATTGGAAATCCTGGTGGGGATGATCTTCGTATAATACACTCCCACCGTGGATACCAGATGTTTGGCCATCTCCAGAATGACCTACACTGCCTTCGACGGCATCGGTGTAAACGAACATCCCCGCTTGCTTAATTTTATTGGTGGTCAAAAATTGGACCATGGCATCAACGTCCTCCTGAGTGGTAAGGAGGAATTCCTCATTCCACAGCGCCCCGTCATGTCTGTTTGGATATCGAAACACCATTTGATCAACTCTTCTAGTGCCATCCATGCAGATAATCTGAGTGCACATTTGATGGAGCTCTTCAAGCATCGGTCTCGTACGGACCTTCATTTTATAAAAATTGTCACCGACGTAACTTACACCATTTTCGGTCTCTTCCGTGTAACCATTCCACCGCAACCCAAGCGTGAATGCCATCTGCAATGAAAAGTAATACAAGTTACTAACATAACATCACAAAGGACAATGAAAAGTAATTAAGTTACTAACATAAAATCACAAAGGACAATGAAAAGTAATTACGAAACAAACTTACGAATTAACGTTAATCGCAAAAACTAAATAATTTAAAGGTGCAAAGCTGAAATTTGAAGAAGGAAGAGGAGGAGTGTGAAGAATTGAGTTCTCTGAAACAGCTTTTTATAGGCAAATTTTGCAGCAAAACCGCTGGGGGGAACGGTTTTACGTCCGCCATGCAGCCCTACCCCCTGCATGCCGACATGTCCGACATGTTTGTTGGCGGGTGACCAGGCACAAACCGCGCCTTGGGGCAGCGGTTTATGTCCTGACATGGTAAACCGCCGCCTGGAGGGGCGGTTTATCATGCCGACATTTAAGCGCTCCCTCTTCAAGCGTTTTGTGGTAGGGTTAGCCTATAACCGCGCCTTCCAGAAGCGGTTTTTGCTGGAAATTAAAAACGCCTCTTGGCAAGGCGGTTATATATAAAACCGCTGCCAGGAGGCACGGTTTCATTAAAAACCGCTCATTAGAGGCGCGGTTTTATATAAACGATGGTATTTTTGGAAATTATTGGGAATGGGTGGTATTTTTGTAATTTTTTTTTAAATTAGTTTTGGATTTTTTTCGGTAATCGACAACAGTTCCGAGAAAGAAGAGTTAGAAGACAATGAAGTGGGAGAAGAAAGTGAAGAGAGTCGTAATTGTATATATATATTGAGATTACCACACTATACCATTACCATATTGTAATGTGTCTGGTAATGTGTCTATACCATATGGTAAAGTGTGGTAACGAAATGTATTTTTATGGATATAATGTTTTCCTATGATCGTAGAAGGTTGTAATCAGATTTATATTATTTTCGTATGGTTTTACCTTCTCATACCATGTAGTATTGTATGGTAATTACAATTAATTTGTGTTCATTCGATTAACCATGTTCTACTATGGTGGCATTGAATAATAGTTATATTTATAATTTTCTGTAACCTGTTTTACCATGTTATACCATGTGGTGGTAGTGGGATTTGTAATTTTATTTTAGCATGTTACCATAAATTTCTGTAGCATGTTTTACCAGCGACCCTCGACTCTACCGACGACGGCGAGGGAACCAGGGAACCAGCGAACCCTCGAGTCTTCCTTCCGACGACGGCGAGGGAACCAGCGAACCCTCCTGGACAGCCGTCTCCCTCCGCCTGAGCGCCTCGTTCCAATCGCAGCCTCGTTCCAACCGAGCCAGCCAACAGCATCCTTGTTCCGCTGCTCCTAAATCTATCATCGAGGTACATCTTCCTTTCCTGATTCTCACCTACTGATTTTTTTTGAAACTCTTTCAAACCCTAAGAGTACATGATAGGGTCTGATTGAATTAAATCAATGGACTCCATGAAGTAGCACAGTAGCAGCATCATTGAATCAATGGACTCTTTCGAGCCATAGTAGCACTGACTGCAGAATGGAGTAGAACAGTAGCAACATACTTGAATGAATGTTCTTTTTGTAATGGCTTGGGTTGATTTCAATTTCCCAACTACTTTGTTTAGGTGAATTCGTCTAATTGATTGAATTGTAGGTCATGGCATCTTCTCAACAATCATCATTTGGTAGCACTGGAATCGACAATGCAGATGTGTTTTGCTGGTGTGGAATGAGAGCTATCAGGTTGCATTCATGGACTAAAACGAATCCGGGGAGAAGGTTTTACCGTTGTAGGAAGAGTTTGGAAGAAGGAGGCTGTAAGTTTTTCAGGTTTCAAGACCCTGAATTGAACATTCCACATTACAAAGGACTGACTGTTTCTCTTCGAGAAAGAGTGAAAGAAGTTGAAGCTGAAAGAGACATTCTACGTACAAGAAGCAAAATCTTAGCGGAAGAACACACTGACATTATGCGGCAAATGAATGGTGTGACCTCAGTGAAGAAGTTGCATATGTTGTATATTGTGATTGTGAGTTTGTTGGTTTTAATTTGCTTGTTATTTGCAGTCATAGTTAATGGCTGAGGTAGAATGGATTTAGATGCATTTTCCCTATCTTTGTAATCACTTTCTGTGAAATGGATATTAAGGGGTTCCTTGTTATGTTAATGCATCTTTGTCTCTTAATGACCTACTTCTTTAGTCAATAATCGTGTCACAGAATACAAAAAAAGCCAGAAAACAGCAGGTTGTTAAAAATGCTTATGAATTGTCTCATAATCCATCCATAATATTGTCATATGTAGTGCAAAATCTAGTTTCATGTATGCTGCCTGTTCTACTCATAATACCGAAATAGGCAGCTTAAAGTTCATGTCTGCTGCCTGCACTACACATAATACCAAAATCTATGTTCAAGATGCACTACTAACTATCGACTACTACATCAAGTATTAAATCTAATGAAAAGTAGTCGTGCTCTCTTGAGTGCCGCAACCACCATCTTGCCTTGAACTCATTCTGTTGTGGCCTCCAGCTTCACGATCATTCTGTTGTGGCCTTGTACCTTCACCACTTCCATGTCCTCCATGTTTGCTTCTTGGCTTCCGAGGGACTTCAATCACCCTTCTAGTTCTCAGTCTCGGCTGTATATGATAATGAAAATCATAAGGAGGAAGAATCAAAAGAATAAAACACTAATGTATAGACGACATGTGTAGTACATACATCAAGCACCATGAAACCATTTTCAGCGTGATGCACACCAACCCCTACAAAGGGGCTTTTCTTCTTCTTAGCTGGTATTCTTCCCTGTAATGAAACAATCTGCTAAGTTGTTGATCATGCATAATTGAAATCACCCTATGAAAATCATAAATGTCTCACTTGCCCAACTGCAGATGTTCCAACACGTGTTTGCGATTGATTTGAGTTAATGGCTCCCCTAATATTAGCCTAACAAGAAGAATTCAATTATATACAATCTGCAAACAATCTAATTCTATAAAGGAAATATAAGGTGGAGAACTAACCTCTGTGGGAATCTGAGCTTTGCAAGTGCGAGAGTTGAGTCCCTCGGTTTACACCTCTTGCATATCATCAATCTCCCGGTCTTACCTAGTTTTGAAGGATCGTTCTTGTCGGGTGCCATCAACTCTTGAGAAGTGTAAGCCTTTTTCTTCTTCTGTCTTTGTCGATCCTCATTTTCTTCAACGCTTCTCACTCTCTTTTTCTTTGGTCTCCCCGGCATAACTCTGAAATCTGGAGGGAGTATGGGCTCATACTCGCTTCGCACCCATGATTTTGGACCATCCATTGGCTGTAACACATGCTTGTATGTATTCCGGAAGTTTTCAGTTGAGAAGCAATCAGAAATGTACATGACAGGGTCTTTATCTTCATAGACCAAGCAAGCAATAGCATGAGGGCACGGAATCCCTGACAATTGCCAAGTTCTACAGGAACAGGTATGTTGCAGAAGATGCACTTAACCCATAATAAAACAAAGAGTGCTATTAACCCATAATAAAACAAAGAGTGAGAGAGAGGGAACCAGTGGGAGGGTGAGATTCGCGTCTGGTCAAAAAATCAGCGTCAGCGCGTCAGCATTAAATAGAGGGTGCAATTTATCTTAGTGCCCCTCCGTGTTTAATTTAAATAAAAGGAAAAAGCTGACACGTGGGGACAAATGATTGGATTACTGACAGTTACTGATGGGTGAGTTACTGACCTGATCCGGTCCCACACCAACGTATCTCTGACGCGGGGAATACAAAGGCGGAAATGACAAGTGAAGTGAGACCTTGACGCATGACGTGGCTGGACTTCATTGGCGGAAAAGCGCCGGGAAAGGTGAAGTAATCCGGAATGGGAGCAGATCCGGTGAGTAACCTTGTGGTGAGTAACCCCATGCATAACCCAATAAGAATCTGACACATCAGCGCCTCTTTCTCTCTACTGGAAAAATCATTAATTTTCTTTCTCTTAATCTTTAACGGACGATTTCTCACTCATTTTAACTCGGAATTTAATTTTTTTGCACAGATAGATAAGATTAATTGTGCTTTTCAAAATGATATCCACTTTGATATTTTTTGGAACAAAAAAAAAATTGCCAATTATTACCAGTCAATACCATGTGGTATTGACTGGTATTAAATAACAGCATACCATATGGTATGAAAAATGTCACCTCATACCAGAGTGGTATAGTATGGTATGGAGTTGGTAACGATTCAAAATGATATCCACTTTGATATTTTTTGGAACAAAATTTTTTTTGCTAGTTATTACCAGTCAATATCATATGGTATTGACTGGATGGTATTGACTGGTATTAAATAACAACATACCATATGGTATGAAAAATACCACCTCATACCAGGATGGTATAGTATGGTATGGAGTTCGTAACGAGAGGTATGGAATTTTTTCCCCAGTAAATTTTGAAATCCAATAGATCATGATTAAATCGTTCCTTTTGTGCAAAAATTTTCGAAAATGACTAATCAACGATGGAGATACCATATGGTATGGAGTTGGTAACGAGAGGGATGGAAAAAAAATTCTCAAAAAATAATGAAAATGAATATCATTTTGTAGAGCACAACGAACTCGTTCCACATGTGCAAAAAAAATTGAAATCCGAGTTAGAATGAAGAAGATATGATCCAACTAAAAAAACTAGGGAAAATAAATTCCTTTAATTCTCCACCCTTAGATCTGCATCCACTTAAAAGAAGGGTCCAGATTAGTTACTCACCCTATCTTGAGCCATCCGGGGAGCAGATCCGGTGAGTAACCTTGTGGTGAGTAACCCCATGCATAACCCAATAAGAATTTGCCACATCAGCGCCTCCTTCTCTCTCCTGGAAAAATCATTAATTTTATTTCCCTTAATCTTTAACGGACGATTTGTCACTCGTTTTAACTCGGAATTTAATTTTTTTGCACAGTTATATCAGATTAATTGTGCTCTTTAAAATGATATCCACTTTGATATTTTTTGGAACAAAAAAAATTTGTCAGTTATTACCAGTCTATACCATATGGTATTGACTATACCATATGGTATTGACTGGTATTAAATAACAGCATACCATATGGTATGAAAAATACTAGTCAATACCATATGCTGTTATTTAATACCAGTCAATACCATATGATATTAAATAACAGCATACCATATGGTATGAAAAATACCACCTCATACCAGGGTGGTATAGTATGGTATGGAGTTGGTAACGAGAGGTTTGAAATTTTTTCCCCCAGAAAATTTTGAAATCCAATAGATCATGATTAAATCGTTCATTTTGTGCGAAAATTTCCGAAAATGACTAAACAACGAAGGAAATACCATATGGTATGGAGTTGGTAACGAGAGGAATGAAATTTTTTTCTAAAAAAATATTGAAAATGGATATTATTTTGTAGAGCACAACGAACTAGTTCCATTTGTGCAAAAAAAAATTGAAATCCGAGTTAGAATGAAGAAGATATGATCCAATTAAGAAAACTAAGGAAAATAAATTCCTTTAATTCTCCACCCTTAGATCTGCAGTCACTTAAAAGAAGGGTCCAGATTTGGTTACTCAATTTTACTCACCCTAAGGTTACTCACCCTATCTTGAGTCGGGGTTTAGTTAGAATAAAGTGATTTTGATGGTGTTCTCTTTTTTTTCCTAAAGATAATATCATATATTATATTCATCTGGCATAATAATGTGTTTGATTTTTTGCCACATCATCAATAATCTTCCAATTCAAGAATTAAATTGCCATGTCCGAGTCAACTGACGATAGGGATGACAACGAGTCGGGTCGACGGTGGATAGTGCTTATCCATTATCTTACCCAAAGTAGTTCAGGTTTTACCCATATCCATACCAACATATGAATCAGGTAGAAACTCAAAACCATGCTTATACCCGTTATTGTTTCGGGTATCCATAGTTATCCATGGATAATAATTGGGCTTTACAATTACAACCAACATGTTAACATTCACACGTATACTCACATTATGTAATTGAAAAAGTACGACAATAATTCACTAGAATGAAAGAAATTAATTTCAAACAACACAATTTCATGAAAATATTATATATGTATGCTAAATATAAAATATGTTGAGAAAAATAATGATCATTTCTAGAAAAAGTACATTAAATATTTATAATCGGGCGGGTTCGAGTTGGATAGTGAAAAAATCATTCCCACTCATTACCAGCAATATTCGATTTCAAATTTTACCCGTACTCACTGAAAATCGTTCGGGTTCAAGTTTTACCCTAACAATTAGGCCAAATTCAGGCGGATATCCACTTTTTTGGATATTTTTGCCATCTCTAACTGACGATCAACTGGATGAAAAGTTAACAGTTTGACTATGATTTTTTTTTCAAAAGGTTTGGCAATTATATTGTTTAAAATGAAAGATTGACTATATATTATATTTATCCTAATTTTTAGGGGTAAACATAAATGATTGAATCACAAAATATTCTACATAAACTAATCTGATATGAATTCTTGTACGATTTTCAATCTCTATCATCATGCTAACAAATTAGATGTTAGTTAGTAGTTGGCACTTGACACCCTAAGACAATCCACAATGTGGGTGGATTTAGGGGGAAAAATGGGAAAGTATCCCACAACGTCGGTGGGAAAAGGGGAGAAGATGGAAAAGTTGGGAAAAATGGGTGTGAATACCCACCTGTAGAAGACAAAAAAGGGAGGAAGGGATGGGGGTGGGGTCCGCGTCAGTTTGTTTTTTGTTTTGCTTTTTATTTTATTTTTTGTTATTATTTTAATGGTTTAGTGTTTGTTTTTAGGGTTTACTGTTTATTTGTTTGTTTTTATTTCTTCTTAATTATGCTATGTTCAACTATCAATGTAACAACTTTCTCGTATAAATTATTGTGATTTCGTCATTAATGACGTTAATTAGTGATGAAATTTTTTTATGTCAACATTAAAAATATATATAAAAATGTTCGTATTCATTAACTATCTCTAACTATGTAAAAATAATGATCATTACATAAAAATAAAGTATTGAAATTAACTATAAATTGATTTTACAAAAAAAAAAGTGATCAACCAATTACCCTCTTTTCTCACCCACACATTGTGACCAAACCCTGCCATTTTCCCTCTTTTCCCACCTTTCTCACCCTCCCACGTTGTGGATGGTCTAAGACTCTCCACAATGTAGGTGGATTTAGGTGGGCAAAGTGAGAAAATAACTCACAATTTGGGTGGGAAAAGTGGAAAAGATGGAGAAAGGGGGAAAATTGAGTGGGAATACCCACCACTAGCAAATAAATGGTGGATGCAAAGGAGGGAGGAGGGGCCCATTGTCGGGCCCGGATATAATTTGTTTTTTTAATTTTTTTGTTCTAATTTTTTTTAATGATTTTCTTTTATTATGAGGTATTTTGATTGGTTTTATTCGCAATGAACAGAATTAATTACGTTATATTTAATTAGTGATGAAAAAAATTATGTCTAAATTAAAAAAAATTATGTTGAAATGTCCGTACTAATTAATTATCACTAACTACGTAAAAATAATGATCATTATATAAAAGTAAAGTCAGAAAATTAACTGTAAATTGATTTTAAGTTTTTAACAGCAAAGTGCTAAACCAATTAGTAATTACCCACTTTTCCCACGGCTCAAGATAGGGTGAGTAACCTTAGGGTGAGTAACTATGAGTAACCAAATATGGATCCTTCTTTTAAGTGGCTGCAGATCTAAGGGTGGAGAATTAAAAAAAATTATTTTCCCTAGTTTTCTTAATTGGATCATATCTTCTTCATTCTAACTCGGATTTCTTTTTTTTTTTTTTTTTGCACAGATGGGACGAGTTCGTTGTGCTCTACAAAATGATAACCATTTTCAATATTTTTTGAGAAAAAAAATTTCATCCCTCTCGTTACCAACTCCATACCATATGGTATCTCCTTCGTTGTTTAGTCATTTTCGGAAATTTTTGCACAAAAGGAACGATTTAATCATGATCTATTGGATTTCAAAATTTTCTGGGGGGAAAAATTCCATACTTCTCGAACTCCATACCATTCTATACCACCCTGGTATGAGGTGGTCTTTTCATACCATATGGTATGCTGTTATTTAATACCAGTCAATACCATATGGTATTGACTGGTAATAACTGGCAAATTTTTTTTTGTTCCAAAAAATATCAAAGTGGATATCATTTTGAATCGTTACCAACTCCATACCATATTATACCACCCTGGTATGAGGTGGTATTTTTCATACCATACGGTATGCTGTTATTTAATACTATTGGCTGGTAATAACTGGCAAAATTTTTTTTGTTCCAAAAAATATCAAAGTGGATATCATTTTGAAGAGCACAATTAATCTGATCTAACTGTGCAAAAAAAAAATTAAATTTTGAGTTAAAACGAGTGAGAAATTGTCCGTTAAAGATTAAGGAAAAGAAAATTAATGATTTTTCTAGGAGAGAGGAGACGCTGATGTGGCAGATTCTTATTGGGTTATGCATGGAGTTACTCACCACAAGGATACTCACCGGATCTGCTCCCCTTTTCCCACCCCTATATTATGAACAAAACATCTTTCTTTTCTCCCTTTTCCCTCCCACCCATGGATGGTCTAAAAACAACTTCGAGAGGTTATAAACTTAAACGCGTAGAGCGCACGCGAGTCACTCAAATCCTACACCCCGCGCGCACAGGCACAGTAGCAGAGCAAAACGGAGGGGAAAGAGAGACGTCAGACGAGTGAGAAAGGAAAGGTAGAAGAGAACTCCCCGAAGAAGAAGAAGGCGACGATGACGATTGATGTGCCGACAACTTGGCTTTCTAATTAATAATACCATAACCATCCGGTCTCTCATTATTCAAAAAAAAAAAAAGAGTCCAGTCACCAGTGTCTAATCGGGGAACGGATCAGATGACATCAGTAACCTTATGGTGAGTAACCATGAGTAACCAGCTCACATCAGCATCACTCTCTCTCCTGGAAAGCTTTTAATTTTTCATTCCTTAATGTTTGACGGACGATTTCTCACTCCTTTTAAGTCGAAATTTAATTTTTTTTGCACAGTTAGATCAAATTAATTATGCTCTTCAAAATGATATCCACTTTGATATATTTTTCGAACAAAAAAAATTGAGCCATTTTTTACTAGTCTATACCATATGGTATTGACTGGTATTGAAATAAGAGCATGCATATAGTTTGAAAAGCGTACCATGGTGATATGAACAAACCAAGACTGTAGGATGGTTGAATTCATGATAATAGAAGTATATTAACTGTCATTTACTACTTTTGTCATTGTGTACCACAAGATACCACCACATACTAGGGTATACTAGGGTGGTATTGTATGGTATTGTGTGGTATTTTTTGGTCATGTCATTTGTTCACCCAGAAATTTTTAGATCCAATAGATCATGATGAACTCGTCCCTTATGTGCAAACGTTTTCAAAAACGAATTAAAAACGAAGAAAATACCATATGGAATGCAGTTGGTACCGAGAGGCCAAATTTTTTTCTCAAAAAATATTGAAAATTGATCTTATTTTGCAGAGCACGATGAACTCGTTCCATCTGTGCAAAAAAATTTAAAATCCGAGTTAAAACAAAAACGGCATGAGCCGATTAAGAAAGCTATGAAAAATAAAAATGGTCTTTAATTCTCCTTTTTTAGATCTGGATTTTCTAAATAAAGGATAAAGATTTGATTATTAATGGGTGCATAGTTATGCGTAGTAATTATGCACCATATCTTGAGCCGCCATCCGGAATCTATAAATAAGAAGGTTCGGGTGAAAAATTATCGGTATCAGGGCAAAACTGTGAAAAGGAAAGCTGGAAAAGTGTTTTGGCTGAGCTGATTGAGAGAGCCAGAGAGAGAAATGGTGTCGTGCTTCGCTTGTTTCGGCGGAGGCAACAAGCGGCAGAGCCGGGAGGAAGAGGAGCGATTGTCGTTGGAGGCTCGCGCAAAAGCCGCCGAAGCGGCCCAGATAAGGTAATTTCATATTTACTTGCCGTCTCCAGCTCCGATGGCTTCCATCGGATAATCCATTGATTTTCTAATGGTTCGCCGAGACTTGAGTTGAGATAGTATGATTTCTGAGTGTAACCGGAGAATTGGGAGGTTGCGAGGAATTAGTTAGGCAGAGTGATTTGAATTTGTGAAAGGATCATTCATCTATTGGTTGATTCTGCGCCATTTTACGATACTATCGATTGAATTGAACGAATTTGGCTGAATGAAACCGTGGATTGATCATTAGAATTGTCCGGGCGTCCATCCAGACATTATTAATCTATCTTTGAGCACTAATCTCGAGCTGGTAACTTATGATTTGAGTATCCTTATGCCAAGCATTGCGTCTTTCATGGCACAGATGCAAAGTTTAACTGTCTATTTTTAAGGCTTTACATCTCAGGGGAGGTTGATGGACAAAAGCAACTTTTGGTATTGTCAAGGTTTCAGCTTGTTATAGAGCAATGAGGTGGTAGAGATGGTGTTCAAATGTTTTTAGATGACGGTAACCCATTTGCAGGCAAGAGGAATTCGAAAAATCAGCTGCTGGAAGGGCTGCAAGGGCACAGTTACAGGCAATGGCAAAGCAATCTGCAAACCAGAACAAAGGCGAACCGGCTCTCAAGGTTTTGTTCTACGACTCCTCGCTTTCTCTTTCAATCCCTGCAATTTCTCTTCGTGTAGACATTAAACAAGACGTCGTAGATTATGGTATGGTGGCTCCTTACTCGTTGGTGGTCTTCATTGGCTTGAGAAACTGATCCATCTGTGTGGGTTTGATATAGTGGCAAATGGGTTGACTATAAGCTTTATCATACCTCACCAGCTACAGCTTGTGATGTAAGTTACAAAATCTTTCTACCATGCTGAACTCCTTTCATGTTACTTTTTAACCCGTCAATCTGGCTCAAGCTTAGCGTGGTAATGCTAACTTGATTTGGGATTGGCATCTGGTTTTTATGATTGTTTTCTTTCTTGCAGTGCTCGTGATTGCATTCCAGTGCCTCTTCCTCCCGTTTTAGATGGCTGGCTGTACATATCTTTGGGTATCCGTATATGTATCAGTATGATTGTTCATGCTGGATGAATGTGGAAATACAGAAAGCACTATTAAGTTGGAGGGCTGAAAACTATACGACACGTAACGTTCATGCTTGTCTCTCTTTTCAATGCCCATATATTTCGTTAACGAAATGCAGTGAACAACAGAACAAGTGGCTTGTTGCATGGTAATCTGGATTCTGAGCGTCTGTAGTTTGCGTATGTATGACGACTTTGGTTACCGTTGCTATCTTGCAGGAAACTGGTCTCTTTGATCCCCTCTTATTATATGTTAGAAACAAAGATGTTCCATAAGAGAATTAGGGATTGAGAAGAGAAAGAGATAAGAGATTTAGAGGGAATTGGGGAAGAATGAGAGAGAGAGTTGGGAAATTAGGGATTTGGGTTGAATAATTGTTTATTGACTGATATGAAAAATAATGTTCTCTCCTCTTAAATATTAAACTGGAATAATTAAAATAACAAGATTGCCACTCCCCTCACCCAACCGACCGAATCCGTCGGAAACATCCTCCCCCTCTTCAGAATCGACCTTGCCCTTAAGGTTGAAGGTCGGAAACTTCTGTCGCAACTCCCCCGTCTCCTCCCACGTGGCATCATCGGGCTCCACATGCTTCCATAACACCAAGCTCTCTTCCACCAAACGCCCCTTCTTCTTCGTCCACCTCGTCTCCATCACCTTCAAGGGCTCTAATTCGAGATCTCAAAGATGGCGAACTCGTTTCAACAATAGATATCATGACATTTTAAACCGTTAAAATAATGTATCAATGTTTTATTAATAATTCACTCTAAATATGATAATGCTCGGCTATAATGATTATTACCTTAAACATGTATACCGAACATGTTGATGATGAAAATGATTGTCATTACTAACTAATAAAAATGCTACTGAAGTACCATATATCATTAAAAATATACATCCAACAATATGAGGTTCTTAGGATAATAAAGGTGAAATGTTGATAAAACTTTAATGCTATGATAGAACTTTATTATTTAGCTGAAACGTTGATAACATTACTTTAAATCAACAACAATTGGCACAAAAACCATCAATAATTTATTCGCTAGTCTTTGTAAAATGCAAAGATTTTCAGGATACTAGTGGTGTTGTATATTGTTAATAGAACCTCATAATAACGTTGATAATGCTATGATAAAACTTCAACAATTTATCTACATACGTTCATAATGAAAATTATTGTAATTATGAAAGAACCATGCCAATATGATATCGTGAACCATTGTCAAGAATATTCGAAGCGATAACAATGTCATTTAAAAAATTTATAATTAATTATAATCCATACCTTAATAAGGTTTATGTTTGGCCTGGCTTTTAGAAGTGCTTTTTGACTTCAAAAACTGAAGCAGAGCCAAACACCTCAATAAGTTGGGCTTTTGAATAGCCGAAAAGCGTTTTTGTATAACATGAAAGTAGAAGTAGAAACTCCGATTTGGAGCTTCTGCGAAAAGCTGTTTTGAAAATACAAGATTCTCCTTACCATATTTTAATTTTATTTCATAAATATACTTTTCCTTCATTTATAGTATATTTAAAATAATTTATAAAATTATATTATTTAATATAAAAAAAATCTAACAAGATCCATTTTGACTACTTTTTATTGTTTAGAATTTTTATTCATATTTTATATTATAAATCATTTATAGTCATTTGAACAACCGGTCATATTAAAAAACACTTCTAATAGTTTTATAGCCAAACACTAAACTGTTTTTTTTTTTTTTTTGAAAAATACTTATCTAAAAGCTCCAGTCAAAAGCTGCTTTTGCAAAAGCTAGAACAGGACCAAACTAACCCATTTGGTGCAGAACATTAGCTTAGTTTGGCCCTGCGGTAGCTTTTGCAGAAACAGCTTCTGGATGGAGCTTTTAAGTAAGTAATTTTCAAAAAAAGCAGTTGAGTGTTTGACTGTAAAACTATTAGAAGTGCTTTTTAATATGAGAGGTTGTGTAAAATTAATATATATGACTTATAATATAAAATATGAATAAAAATTCTAAACAATAAAAAGTAGTCAAAATGGATCTTGTTAGATTTCTTTTATATTAAATAATATGATTTTATAAATTATTTTATTTTAAAAATACTATAAATGAAGGAAAATTATATTTTCTGAAATAACATTAAAATATGGTAAGAATAATCTTGTATTTTCAAAACAGCTTTTCGTAGAAGCTCCAAATCGGAGCTTCTGCTTTTATGTTATACAAAAACGCTTTTTGGCTTTTCAAAAGCAGAGCTTTTACAGATGTTTGGCTCCGCTTCAGCTTTTGAAGCCGAAAAGCACTTCTAAAAGCCGAGCCAAACATAGGGATTGTTATGATATCGTGAATCGTTGTCAATAATATTCCAATCGTTGACACATCATCTTAAAACATTGATAACTATAATCCAAACTTTAATAATAACTAGGGTGGGCCCGGCTATTTGGCTAGAGGAAGGTGAGGTATGAAATTTGATAATGTAATAGGGTGTATAGCTTATTGTTGTATACTTTTTTTTGGGAAACACGTGATAAAAATAGTGAATTTTAGTAGGAAAGAGACATGAATGATGCAACGAATCAAAAATCAGCCTTATGAACCAAAATCAAGTACATGTTACCTTGTGAAACAATATTGTTTCTTGTAATATGATGAGGTGGAGTAAGTTTAATAGAAACTGAATTCCAGAAAATCGAATAAAAAATCGTCTATCTCACAAATCACAATCGTTGCTAGCTTTTACTCGGCCCGTTGGCCGATTAACTTGCTTTATAAAACTTTCATCTTGTCATCATTGTGCTTTCTGGTTTTTTGCCAAGCCATGATAAAATCTAAAGAAATCAAGAATGAACAACACGATTTGGGATAGGAACCACCGTTCCTGTATCTCTAGAAAATGGTGGTAAACACGGACTCACCTGGCAAACTGGTTTGGATTGAGATTTTTATCGGATATCATGGAACCATGTGATTATAAATTAGACTTGATCAAAACGGGCCAAAACTTGAAATTCAGCCTGTTTGACCGACCCATGCCAAACTCTAATTATTTTTTACTTTTAAACTTTCTATTTGAAAATAAAAAATAATGAAAGAAAAGAGATGACTGCAATTCGCCATTTGCAGATCACTGATTCGGGAATAAAACTATAGAATTTTGAAAGGAAACTGAAAATGTTTAGGATCGTTTTAATGTTAAAAATAACCAAATAGATCTTTCTGTTTAGTTTTTTACTAACAAATATCAAACGATTCCCTATAACATACACTATAATTTAATCATTATAATATCAAATAATTACATAATATATATTTGAAATGATAAAAATTGGACTAATTGGGTTGGTCGAGGTTGAACCATTGAATAACTTTAAAATACATTGTATTTTAGCCACTAAGATATAAAATAATAGCATAATATATATTATGCTAGAGAAAATAGTTTGTTTTAGAATGACAAACCCATGATGTTCATTTGTTTTACTTGATGGGCAAATCCCGTGTTGGTCAGGCTCATTCAACTCTTTTATTTTATGATTAGCGGTTAGCCCATTAGAATCCATGTATTAGTTTATTGTTAAATTTTTTTTAGCAATAAAAAGGAGTATTATTTTGCATTTTCATATATATTTTACCACCACGGAGAAATAAAAGGACTTAAAGAAAAAAATTGGCACTCCTGGACCCGTTTAAATCCGCATGTGTACGGTAAGTTGGCCCGTTCCACAGAGGAAAAAGAAAAAAATTGACACTCCCTATTCTACCCTTCCTACAAACGCTCATGGAGCAGGGAATTTGAAGCGAGGGAAGAGTTTTTTCCTCTCTGCAATTATATGTTTTTAATTTAAAAATATACAAACAAATGTACTTAGTGTGATTGGTTATGATCTTTACTTTTCTTTAAAGTGGTCATGGTTCAAATCCTATTAAGTGTCTTTTTAATGAAAAAAAAGTAATTGTGAAGACCAAAATGTCCTTTCTACTTTCACTCTGGATGCAGAAATTTGAAATGGAGTTTCAAGTTTTCTCATTTGGCTTTTATTTATTGTGTAGATGTATATTATAACATATGCATGAGTTCATACTAATACGAAATTTTTTATATATTAAACAAGTCCAAGACGTTAAAAACATGTCCATAGCCAATCTTAATCATTAATAATAAAATTTGAAAATACAAACAAAATAATTGATAATGGTTCCATCTAAATATTTAATAACAATAGTATATGTTCTTAATATAATTCTCTTCTCGAAACGTTGATGATGGTATAAAAACTATTAATCGCTAAATTGTGTTTCGTTTAAAATGCAAACAATCTCATAGTCATAGATAATGATCGGATCTAATGATCGTTAACCTTATTACATATTACGATAATTCTTGCTAAAAAAATAGATATGCTTATACTCACCCGATAATAAGGATACCAATTATCATACACTGATTATTAGTAATTGTTGTACTGACAATTGTATCCGAGGATGCAAAGCATTAATAACGTGCGCAACCATCACAATTGTTCTACTAACAATTGTATAAAAAATATTAAGAATGCTCGGATCTAATTGTTAATTTGTTATTAACTTAAATTTAATTACTAATAACCACATGAGTTCATACGAACATGTACTACCAAGAGAAGACTCGGCTGGCCGGTGATACTTAGTCGTCGGGAAGCTGCTGTTCGGGACTGGAGAGACGCCGCTGCAGCGTCGG